GATGAAAGGAATAAACTAAGGTTTAGAAATTTTAGTTTACCTTTCAACCTTAATTTGATTGTTTTGAAACTTTTGTTTTATAACTGATCAAGTATTTTCCAAATCTCAGATTTTCCAACAACACTCAAAATTAAACTAAGGCCATGTTTGGTGGGAAGCATTGGGAGGTTGGGATTAATATTGGTATTGAAAAAACTTATAAATACAATGTTTGGAATGATGAATTCTTTAATTCTTGGGCCTAATAAAACCTATGTAGGTGAGATTAGTGAAACTCATAGAAGAAGATGGTATTGAAAATTTAAACTTGGGATTGAATTTTTTAAAACCAAGATACCCTCCATTTTTAGTATATATCCTCTTGGTCTTCCACCTTCATCTTCAATGTCGTCTTCTTCTTCTTCTTCTTTGATCTTGCAGCCACTAGCCAACACCAATGCCTTCTCCTTCTCTGATCTCACAACCACTGACCTCTAAATCTTGTAAATGCCATTGTCTTCTCCTTCTTCGATCTAGCAACCATCATCGTTTAGATCTCACAAACACTACCGAATGGATCTCACAACCACTTTCATCTCCTTCTCTCACAAGTCTAAACTCGATCTCCTTATCTCAAAAGACAAATAGTGGCAAAGGGGTGCTAGAGCATGAAGTGTGGAGCATGGTCAAAGAAGATGAACCTCTGTGCTGCTTATAACATCCCAAGAAATTTAACCTAAGGTTAATGGATTAATTAAGGATAAATTAGATAATTAAGAGTTAATTTTGATTAAAAGATAATGTATGGATAGCTAACGGGTTTATCAAACCCTAATTAAGACTTAGAATTGGACTCTAGGTGGTATTGAGCCAAATTTGAGCCCAATTAGATGAATAGTGTTTATAATCTAAAATTTAATCTTTGACCAAAGCCAAAGGTTTATTGGCTTTTGTTAAAGCTCAATTTTTAAACCTCCAAATTTGCACTTTAGCTCAAAATTAGAGAGTTGAGTGAGAGTTTAAAAGTGAATGAATTGGTCTCTGCTAGGGTTTGTTGTGGGCATCCAATTGAGTCTATTTAGAGTTTTTAATCACTTGGATAAGTACTTATAACCTCTTTTCTTCCTCTCTTGTTCATTTTCATCACTGTTTTTGAGTAATTCTTTAGCAATCCAAAAATGAGTTGTGACTTTGCCTAGGACTTTAACTTCAATGGGATTAATAAGTGTTTATGTGAATGTTTAACCTCTGGGTTATAATGCTATTGATGTTTTAAAATTTTAAAGTGGGGTTTGGAGTAAACCCTATATCTAATTAGTTAAGCTAAAGAGGTTATGATTTATTAATGGTGTTGATTAGAGTAATGAGAGTCCAAGTAAACTAATGAAACTTAAAAATGGATTATGTTCTGGGCAGACAACCATAATAAGATTTTTGGATTTAGGCTTTGATTAGAGTTAATTAAAGATAATTAGTCATTGATGACTATTGATGTGTTTGATTGTAGACTGACCATTATTGGTGCTATCGAGCTTATTGGACGTTCTGTTTGACATTTACGGGTGCTTTTTGTTAGTAAACCAAGAGTCAAGGTAATTAAAAATTTTATTATAGTATATCATTGTGTCTACATTTATATTTTAAGCACTCTTATGGATGGCTTGAAATAAGCAAAATGAGCTTATGGATGAATATGCTAATTTTAAATTATTACCCAAATATAAAACATGACTCATTGCGATGAAGTATTTGATGACTACATTTATATAGATGCTATGTGGTATTTGAAATATGAATTGTGAACCTATATTGGCTATGATTTGATTATATGATGAGTTATTATAAAATATAATGTGGTGTGAACTATGATAAGCATGCAAGTTTTAAAAATTATGAGGATGATGAATTATTATGATATGCCTGAGCTTAGATTCACATATGTTGATTGAACTTGTTTGATCATGATGAGTGAGAGTTCATCCTAGTATAGTAGAGTAACTGTGATAGAAAATTCATGTGGTATAGCCTCCATTAAATTTGTGTACAATGGTTGGCATATTTCATTATTATATATGCTTAATATTGCCAACAAACTATGGGTGCAACACGAGTTGAGCACGATGCTTAGTATCACTGATCCTAAATTGGACGGTGTGGATCTGTAACAGTCACACCCCCCCGAGCCCACTGCTGCGAGTGGTGGACTGGGCCGTGCCACCTCACGGCAACCAAGCCGGCTTTCCCCATGGTAGTTCATGGGTTATTCCCCGCACCCACTGCGCTAAGGGAGCCTTCCCAAATTCGATCCTCCAACCTCTCCTACATAGCGAAGTTAAGGCTGAACCTGGTACCATTGAGTCACTGAAAATTTAGCATGCACATTTAAATTGTTAAATCTTGTATTGTGAATTGCCAAACCTTTTGTTGTTCTGGACTCTCATTACAATTTTTTCTTTTTATTTTTTTTTTTTGGTCCAAGGATCTGAATGCGGTTTTTCCTACTTTTTAACTGAAGTGTAAATAAGCGTCTCACAAAAGAAATCAAACATGCCCTCCAAAGTAATCATTGCAGCATCTACGATCGGATCTAATTGATGAATCCACATTTTTTTTATTTGATACATGAAATTATTGAAAAATTTGTATGACTACGATCGTTTCTTAATATCATTATTATATTTTGATGAAACAAATCCACAATGATATTTTGTGAGATCATTTCAAATTTTCAATAGATTTTCTTCAATTATAATGACCTGAGAAATTGTTCTAAGTTCATTGATGATCTTGTAACAAAGTCATACCGAGTTCGATCTACGTAATTTTGAGCTGTCAATTCGAAGCTTTATGCTTAAAAAAAATTACTCAATATCTTACCAACGAAGATGTTTCATGCCTATTTTTATGTAAGTATTTGGTTAAAAAAAATTGTTTTATTTTGTAAACAAGTTAACGTTGGATGCAATGCAAACTAACAGAAAATAATGTAAATCCATGCATCATTAGCATCATAATTACACGGAGTACATGAACGAAATCGCGAAGAATATGTAAATCCATGCCTCATTAGCATGATAATTAATACTTGAAAATATATCAGGGTAAAAGTGCATTTTTGCCATTAAGGCATTAACCAACCCCAGGCGAGAGACTGAGAAACCCATGTACCATTCAGTCATTAAACATCCCCCGGACAGATTGATAACTGTAGTTATGGTGGCGAACGTGACTTGAACCAGTGGACTGTGGCCTCTGCACATCCTTTATTAGTCAGGATTTCGATTTGTCTTCTAAAGGGTTTATGATCATTAAAGCATCACACTTCCGTTAGTTTCTTTGGCTTCTCAACAGGGCAGAATCGGAGAATGTGTTTGCTCTGTGAGAGTATCATTTTCAGCGGGGGAACGAGGAAGAGTGGACAAAGAGGGTGAAAGACAATTGAGGGTGACGCAGCGAGCTTTGGATAGCCTGTTATGACCAAACTAATAACAAGAACTGCAACATCCATAATCCTTATCCTTAGACCTTAATAATACAAAAAGATGATAGGATGGGATGTACGAAGGCTGGGAAGTGGAAACTAATTTTAAGATCATGTCAGCATGTCTGCACTTTCACCACGGGCACGACAAATTCTTGGAGTGCGCGCGACAAAAGTGCCTGAAACATTAAATGGAAGGCATTGTGAAGGATTTGACGAAGCAGGCTGGCAGAGAGATGATGAGAGATTAAGAAAGACAAAAGAATCAACCACCGACTAGGAATGGCAGATTAACCCATCTGTAAAATGCTGCACTATTAAAATAAGCAGGCCTAATGGATGACTTTGAAACAACCGAAGGCCTTCTGTGAAGACGGCAAACAACATGAAGAGCATAAGACCACATCCACGTGACCGCGTTTACGAGTTTGAAACGGACGTAGAAAAGCGGAGGCCATGTGCGGTGCTGTGATGAGGAGGGAGTCACAGCCAGTGCCTCTAGCCCTCTGGTTTCAGTTTCGTCATTCTGCGGGCAAACCCAGCAACTCAATACCTAAACTTAGATATACTTTCTGATTACATTTTAAAACTTTTAGGATAAATAATTAAACAGTTGTAGTTACTCAGTTCAAATTAGTTGCATCTAAACATATTTGGATAGAGTGCTTAACTGCCATTAAATGTTTAAGTACTACGTCATGGAGGATCTCAGAAATTTTTATCAAGTCCAGTCAAATTAGGTTGAATTGATGCGCCTATGGTATAATACTACGCATGTATAAACTATAGTGCTTGGCTTTGGTGTTCATCAAGCGTCAAATTTGGATAGTTCAAGTTTTAAAGTTTTATGTTTATATTTTTATTTTATATTTATTATAAAAAATTATACATTTTTAATAAATAAATCTTATCATTAACCTAGATAATATAGATTTAATCTAAATGATCTAATTTATTACTAAATTTCAAGCTGGATTTAATATTAAACTTTTTTAAAATTTTTATATATTTTTATTTTAATAAATATAATATTAAAAAATAAAAATGAAGATTATATTCAAACTGACATTTTAAAAAAACTAAAAAAAATTATAATTTAAAAATTTAAAATTTAAATTATGTAAAGTATATCTGAGTAGTCAATTTATAAAAATTATAAAAATATTTAATATTAAATTAAATTATTTAGGTTATATTTGGGTTGTTTAAATTAATAATAAAATAAATTTATTAAAATTTATAATTTTTATTTTAATGAATATGAAAATAAAATTTTTAAATTTGTACAATTCAAATTGCTATTTATGCGATGAGCACATCATGATCACCGAAACCGGGCTCGAAAGGGTACACAGGATTATGACTTGTGAGGAAGACCGCGCAGAGGCGCAGACCAACCCCACATGGGCGTGGCAGCAACTTTTATGAAAAAGCAAATACAAAAAGATGGGGAAAAAAAAAGGGAGAGCCTTATCCAAAATGGCTGACTAGGCAGCTGGGGACGTTCTGTCGTTCCATTCTATAAATGCCTTCATCAGATCGGCAATTCATTGCGCAAGGTTGAAAGGCAACGTCCACAAAAACAAACTAGAACAGCAAAATTTTAATCTGGTTTTGTTGAATCAAGGATGTCTGATATTGCGATGCTGGTGGCAGAGGAGTATGAGAGGAGGGTCAGCATTTTAAGGAAGGCAAGCGCTGATGCCTATGGCGTTTCACAGGAGAGGATCGATGAAGGCGCTTCGGTTTTGGCTCAGAGGCTGATGAAGCAGAAGAGAGAGCTCCTCAAGTGGGCCTGGGAGCCCAAATCCCAAGTGGGCGTTGCTGCTTCTACCAGCTTCTTCTCTGCTTGACCCTCATGCTTCCCCACCCAAAGTTCCTTCACTTCTTTCCTCTCTTTGATTCTCCTTCTCCTTCTGTACACTCATCGTTCTATATCCATTCACTAAAAGGAACTCTGTGTTCTCGGCTCATGAACAGTTCTCCACCAATTATTTGCTTCCCTTTCTCTCTTCTTAAGAGACATCAATTTCACGCTCACAACATTAGTAATTGGAACTGAGTTTTTCCGTAAACCCTGAATTATTTAATAATATTTAAGAGCACCAACGTCGGAAGATCTTCGGAGTCACCAGCTGTTTGATGTCCCCGGGGTCGTCTTCCCACCAAGAACAGCCTTTAAGTTCTTCAGCACATGAGAAGCTCGCAATTTCATTTTGGAAGAGCAGCACTCAACCCCCCCAGCGCATTGCAATTAAAAACGCAGAAGACGGAAAGTTTCGATCAGTGAAGAGAGAACTAAAGTCAGCCGGGATGAGAGCTTAACAAATTTGTAGAATATGGAATGTGCGAATTTTATTATTATTTTTTCAATAGCTTTGGGCTTCTCATTTTTGAAGAGTGGAAGGAAGATATGAACTGAGATCCGCGGAAATGAGATGCCTGAATGAAACAATTACTTTCTGAAGCGATTTCTCAGGAACGTGAGGAAAATAACAAAAAATATCGAGGTGATCAATTAATATTTTTAAAAATTAAGGACCACATCGAATAAATTTAATGTATAAAATGGAAAATGACTGGATGGAAATCACAATGAGACTTCATAAAATGTGATAATTACTCTTAAGCTTTTTGACACATAATAATGTACTTATAATATGACTATGACACCATTAATTTAAAATACAAAAGGAAAATAGGCAAAGCGAAATTTGTTATTTCTTATTTTATTCTACTTATTATATGAAAAAATAATCATTATTTAAATTAAAATAATTATTAATATTTATAATATTTAAATTTCAGTAAATAAAAATTTTATATGAGAGGCTAATAAAAAAACCATAAAAAATTATAATTATTCATCTTGTGTTAACCATTTTCAAGAGAAAATTATTCATTATTTAAATTAAAATAATAATTGATATTTATAATATTGATACTTAGTGATAAAAAATTTTACAAAGTAAAACTTATTATTTGCTATCTCATTTTAATTATTGTAAAAAAATTATTATTTAAATTAAAATAATCAATGTGCTTTTTTATTATTTTAAATTATAATTTTTATAGTTATTTCACAAATAATGTTAACGTCAAAAAAGTTTCAATAACTTAAGCTTCAATAACTTGAGAAGAATTATTATATTTCACAAGATTTTATTATTATTTACATATTTTAGGAAGATGTTTTTTGTATCATTTATTTTTTCTATATAAAATATGGGTGGCATTATATTTTAATTCATTTCATCGTTACCTATAATTAAGATGAAATAGAAGGAGATCAGAATATTTTACTCAAAATAAAAATAAAAAGAATGAAGGAAAGAAGAACGAGAAAAAGTGACGCGTTGCCCAAAAATACTGAGAAAGTTTTGCAGCGTTGGTCCCCTGCTGGGCGAAGATTGTTTTGCACTTTTTCAATGAAAGTGGCCCACTGCTGGGCCTACCGTTTGGTGAAGGAATTAATGGAGAAAAAAATAAATAAAAAAAGCATCCTTATGAGGATGAGATAACATTTTAGAGCCAATCAAATAATTCATATTTTTTAAAAAATAAAAAAGAAAAGTATATTATCAATTTTATTCTCACATGTGCCCTTATCCATTCCCAGTGGATATAAGGAATTTTCGCGAAGATGGTTTTTATATGTGTAGCCTTATATTATATTGTTTTTGATTTATTTGTTTGTCAATTTTTCTTGACCTCATTTGTCAATTTTTTTTAAGACACTACATTTGCAGCACTGAGTCTAATTAAAACAGAAACTTCAGATCATAGCTATCGCGGTGCATGGACTTTTTTTTTTTTTTTGGGGTAAGACTATCGTTCCATTCCAATTGATCCATTCCCGACAGAAGAGTTTCGTTGTGAGGATCAAAACCTATTGGATCAAGAAGAGGCCATTTTTTGGCCCACATCTTAATTTTTCGTCGCATGACAAACGAACGATAGGACCACATGGGATCATAATTTGGCATTTCCTTGACTAGCGGAGTGACAACTAAAATCCTCTTGAAGAGATTAATAGCAAGATATTTTTTTAATAATTTTCAATGTTGATTTATAAAAGAAAGAATGCTGAATTTGGGAATCCAAATCGTGAGAAAATCTTAATTTAACATCAATTTTTTTATAAAATTTTTAATTGTCATATTTCATGTATTTTATTGCACAGAAGTACGGCTCACTTGAAACAATATTATCTGTTATTTATGTTTTTTTGTCAACATGCCAATACTTATTGGCACCTTGGCACCGGATGATTAGACTTAGACCGCGTTTGACATGTGTAATATAGTTTATTATAATTGTCAATAAAAAAAAATTAAATTGTCAATAACTCTGCCAGAAACGACCTAAATGACATTCTCTTAACTCGTTCCCTCCATAGTTAAGTGATTAAAACTCAAAGGAGTTTAGTAATGAATTGTAATCACTGCCTCATGTATTCAAAGTCATTATTTGACATGGACTATACGTAAACAAAATATGCAAAAGAGAAAAGGGGGTGATATAAGTATGAGATAATTGTCCGGATTTGGATTTTCCAAATTCGGTGAAAACTACGAAAGGGTAGGCAGTAGGGATTAGGCGGCATTCATTGGCCGTTTTGTTTGCTTCAACTTGTGAGAACGACATTTTACAGCTGTCTCATTCCCACAGGAGAGGGTTAGCAGAATCCTAATCTTTTTTTTTTTTTTTTAAAGGCAATAGACATATCACGTTCACTTCAAGAGTGACCAGAAACAACTGCATCCATATCTCTATGACATTCATTAATTTTGCGTTCAGATATTAGCCTAGCGATGGAATCGTAGAACATGTCGGTCAAAAAATAAATAAAAGCTACAGTTTAAAATTGGATTAATGAGTATTTTAAATATTAAACTATTACACAAATACTATCATATACTCTTAACTTCTAAAATGAACAAAAATGCTCATCAACCTAACCATTATCTAGTGTAGCTGGTATGTCACATGTAGAGTTGAAAATAAGGGTTGAAGCTTGAAAGGTAGAGTTTGAAGGCCTTATTTAAATAAAGATTTGGGTTTTAAAAATAAATTTTTTTAAAGTGATTGGGCTTAAAGACTTAGCCCTGATAAGCCTTGTAAAAAAGAACTTGGGCCCGAGCGGCCCTTCAAACTTTATTATATTATTATTATTTTCTTAGTAGAACATATATTTGAAGCCAATGATTTGCTCACTTGATCCTACACGTATTATATTATTATTAATTTTAATTTATTTTAAAATTAATTTAATATAATTTAAAAAATATTAATATATAATATAAAATTTTTGATATTTTTTATTTTTCTATAATTATTATGCTTGTGCATTTATAAAAGATGAACTGTTTTTAACCAATATTTAAATTTTATTACTAGACTTCTAAATATATGTTGTTTAATTTTTTAAAAATTACAAAAATTTTAATTTTTTTAATTTCAAAATATTTTAATTAATTTATAATGTTTAATTTTATTTTTTTTTTTTATTTTTTTAAAAAAGGCTTGTAGGCCCGTTTTGAACTCTTCACATAAGGATTGAGATTGAAAAATAGGGCTAAAAATAGGTAATCAGGTTTTAGGATTCAGGCCCTTAAGAAAAGGGTCGGGTCCGCTTGTATTCCCAACTATAGCCACATGTCAAGAAGGAATCAATACAACATCAACCTTTGACTGGACCCTACAAAATAAAAAGTAACAACCATTGTGGAGGTAATTTACTCAAAATTTATAAGTTTATAAAAGCTTTTACTCATTTTAAAAGTTTATAATTCAGAATGTTATTTCAAAAAATAATTTAAAATTTAGAATGTTCATTCATCCTTTAAAATTCAAAATCACATACATTAATCTGTTTTGAAAAAATTGGAATTTTTTAAAACATTCAAAAAAAAAATATCATACATAACCCAAACTGTAATTCCATTTGTATTTGCAGGAGAGAGAGAAAGGACAGAAGACTAAATGATTACGTGTTTCGTGCTTTAATATTGAATTTGGTCATCCCCCCCCCCCCCCCGGGCGGGGCGGGGCTTTCAAAAATGCCAACGTTTTGCCAAAGCGACACTGCCCTATGGATGACCATGACCTGTCTCATCTCGTTTCAGGTCTTCAAAGCACATTGCATTTATGTCAATGGAATACTCGTCGTTTACTTCGCACAAAAGTGATTCCAAGGAGCTAATTGATAAGCCATTACTGTGATTCAGATTTCATGACGTTAAGCAATGTTTAACACTGACTCTGTTTATTTCATGAAACAAAAAGGAAGCCTACTACTATACAATTTTTGTAAAGCAACAAAGCTGCTGTCGGTGACGGCGACTGACTCACAAGCCATTCCATAAAGACGAGTCTGTATGCAGTGAGAAATCATTGTCCACATCTACTCAGATATTTTTCTAACTATATTTTGCTGGAAAACCAACATGGATTGTCAGTGTTGGAAACGTAATGTTTGCCCATAATTCTTCCTGTGAAATAAAATGCAGGGGAAAACATGATGTTCCTGAGTGAACAATTAAGATATTAAGCAAACTACTAATAACTTGTCACAGTAGATGCGAAGAAAATAAAGAGCGTACGAATGTCATTATATAACTGCTTTGTTTAAATTTGGTAAAACATTGCATTAAACTTTGTTGATTGACATTACTCTCAAATAATATCAAAATAAATAAAAGTTAAATTTTACAGTAAAACATAATATAAATCGTGTTTCTAAAAATTAATAGATTAACTATTTGAATTAGGATTATGAAAAGGTAAATAGTGAAATTTTTTATTACAAAATTAATGTAAAAAAACTAAATTAAAATTAAATAATTAAAACAAGTCCAGTTAATAAAATTATCAAGCACAAGTAGCACAATCAATTACAACCCAATCACCTAAATTTAATATTCCTTGTCTACAAAATAAATTAATTTTATTTAAATTTATTATTTTAGTTTTATTATATATTTTTTAAATTATTATTCAAGAATTAAATAAGAAATTAAATATAGATTAATTGAAATTTTCCTTAACCCACAATTTAACAACTGTTTTATGTTAACCACACCAAAAATAAAGTATGGATAATCACTCAAATTAGACCAAATTATTTTTATTATTCTATATCAATCAATTATAGCAAGCAAAATTTTAAATAAAATGTATAACCTAAAAATTATGCAATAAAGCTAATTTAATTAGCAATAATAATTAAAACATAAAATTCAGAGGTAGAGAGAAGAAGAGCAAATTAAAATAAAGTTAAAATAAATTTTTTTTTAAATATTAAAAATTCTGATTAAAATTTAGGATTATGATTTGTGATTTATCATACTAAAAAAATTAACTTTTTATAAAATTAAAAATCAAATAACACCCAACAAGAGAAGCTATCAGGAATTGTTGAATGGAAGAAGAGCGATTTTTCCTGCATGCGACTTCGTGTGCGGGCCTCTACCGTTCAGTTTTCTGCCCCCAACTCCCTTTCTATCCTTTTTTAATTCTCCAGTTTTGCGTTCTGTGCGTCTATTTACATATAAAACTTAATAATTTAATTAAATAATAAAACTATCCTTAAAAATCCTAATTAAAAACTGCATTAAAATACCCAAGATAAATATAAATAAAATTTTTAAAATTTAATTATTGATTTGATCTTCAAGCATGTACATATTTTTTTATTCAAAATAATATCTATCAATATCTTTCAAATTAAATTTAAAAGATTTGCACAAATAAAATAAAATAAAATAAAATAACAACTGTACAAAAATATCAAAGATATCAATTATATTTTAAAACTCAAGATTTAGTTAGTTAAAATTTAAAAATTGAATATTGGGCTAATAAAATTAAATAATATTCAAGTAAACTTAATTAACCTCAAATAAATATTTAAAAGTCTAAATTAAAAGGATAAAAAATATATGAAATTGTAATTTATCAATTCTCTTATACTTAGACTTTTACACTCTTGTACAGAACTTAAATTTTAAAATTTAATAAAAAAAATGTGGAAACAACTAAAAATAAACACAATAATAACTCTTTAACTTTTTAACACTCTAGTCAACCTCTCTTATATTTAGAATAACAAATATTATAATAATTTTATTTAATAAGAATGAATCAAGTAATAACTCCTCACTTTGTTCTCAGTTCAGCAAATCCGGTAACAAATCGTCCTCCGAAGCGCTCTCAATATTATCAGCTCTTCAATCAAGACTTTTATTATGTTCATCTAACTCTTGAGCCCTTCATGTGAATCTGGCTCTGTGGAGTTGTGGGGTCTCTTAAATTGCTTCAACGTGGGTACCTTTTTCAACCACTAATAAACCTTCTAACTTCTCCACCTACCAAATCGTCAATGTCACGGTGTGAAAAAGTTCCCTTGTAGACAATGAAAATCTAACTTGCTAGCATCTCTCGTCTTTACTATTGCCTGAACAGTCACTCCTATCCTACCGTGACTCCGTGAGAATGGGACCCCATCAAAATCTGCAGAGTAGTATGTCTACAAATATTTACTTCTGCTGAGATATTTTCAACGTGAACTGGACAGATAGAAACTTCAACATTTCCAGAATTTCCCGAGATCCAGCCCATTCACGACATTGATGAAATCACATATTCATGTTGTACAGCAGTGAAAAGGCTAAACCATTCTTTCACCGTAATCTTCAGACATACAGCAGATGGTACCTCGCTAGTCTTCCGAGGAATCCCAGAAGGGAAAGATGATCAATTCCCTCTGTACAACCAAAAGAAAAAGGAAAAGAAGCTCACATATCAAACAATGTATCATGAGGAAGACAATTTGTTTCAGAGATATCTTTGCAAGGTGATGGCACCCCGTAATGCAAGCATGAAAGACGTAATTGGGTGGTGCTCATCATCATCATCATAATTCACCTGATTCCGAAGCCGTCGATAGTTGGTCACAGCATCATCTGGTACTACTCTGTTCCTACAGAGGGGGCAAGTGGCCCAAAACTGAAGCAACCACGGGTCCAAGCATTCCTTGTGAAATGTGTGCTTGCATTTCAAGTTCCTAACCTTGTCGCCTTCTTGAAGCTCAGATAAGCACACGCTGCACTCTGGTTGCGGTTCATCTGCCATATTCAGTGCTCTGGTGAAACAAACGGTGGGGTTTTTCTCTTCAATGAGCTGGAGGTACTGGGATATGGTAATTGGAGGAGCGTGGGCTTTAAGGCTTCGAACGAGGATGATGAGTTCTATCAGCAAGAAGACCAAAAGGACGATGGTCTTTGCGTAGAGATGAAAGAAGAAATCAGAGAGGGCTTTCATGGCTGTGGCTATCAAATGTTAATGGCAATAATGGATTCCCAGATGCAAAATTGGATGTTGTTTATGGAGCGGGGAATGTAGCCCGGCCTGCGTTGGTCTTATAGCGAAGTTCATTTTAATTATTTTTTTAGGTCAAAACCCTTTAATTAAATTAAATAATTTCCATTTTAAATTTCACTTTTTTAAGTTAGATATGTTATTATTTGAAAATTTAAAAATTATTTTTATTCCATATTACATTTTTATTTAAAGTAAAACAATAAATTCATAAAAACAAAATAAAATCAAATATACACAGTTCAGCTATGATTTTAATAACGTGGATTTAAGAATAGGCTATGTTTTATATATATATATATATATATAAAAGAATAGGCCATGCTCCAATGTGTCCATGATGATGGATGAATGTAACATTAATGCGGGCAAAGGATGCTCGGACTCGAGTGCGGGAAAAACCGCTGAAATTTTTATGCAAGGTGTCCACAGTCAGGTTACCTAGGTGAATACAAACCATCGACTATTTATGAATTGTTCTTGAACAACTTTTTACTACAAATATTATTTTAATAACGTTAAAATTATTTATTGTTAACCAAAATTTAGAGTATTTTACTTTTCTGTTTTTTAAAAATAAATAGGTAAATTATCTCATAAACTTTAGTAATATTATGAACCCTGAACTTATTTATTATATAAATTATTCCCTTAACTTTTGAAAATGGTGTAATCTAATTTTTTCATTAACAAAAGTTAAATTTAATAGCTAGTTTACTGCTACAAAAATTTAAATTAACAAGAAAATTTAGTAAAGGATCGTTTATTCCTTTTCAAATTATTAAATTAGCGAGAAAATTAGTGAGAGATCTTGATTCCGTAGCTTGACTTAAAATTAGCAAGAAAAATAACGAAGGACTATCAATTCTTCTCTAAAATAAGATAATTAACGAGGGACTGTTAATCCCTCTCTAAAATAAGAGAATTAGTGAAAAAAAATAGTGATGGACTGCTAATTCCTCTCTAAAACAAGATAATTAGTGAGGAATTCTATTCCTAGTTAATTACTGCAAAAAAAAGTTAACTTTTGACAATGACTTTTAATTACATATTTAATTATTTTCATTTAAAAATAAAAAATAAATTCAAAAATTAAATAAAATATCCATAATAAAATTATTTAATATTTTCTTTATTTTAAGTTGATTTTCATTAGTAAAATAATATTTTATTAAAAATATAATATAAATAATAATTTAAATAAAATATAAATATTTTTAACACATTAATAATTGCAAATAAAATTTAATATGTATATATGTGTATGTTTTTACAATATATTATTTGTTATATTTATGTTAGATAATATATATTTAATTTTTCATATAATGACTGTAGGTGCCTTTCAGTTCAACTGGCAAATAATGAGAACATAAGGCTTGGGAGGTATGACATCAAGAATTCAAGTTTTGATTTTGGCATAAACATAATAAATATATGATATGGTAAAGAGCAAGTGATACGGTGCAAAGTGAACAATGACATGTCATGAGTTATCGCACATGTGGTGGGTGATGGGGCACAAGATAGTAGGTGATATAGTAGTTGACAAGGCACGAGATTGTCAGTGACATGTCATAAGTTAATGCACACATAATAGGTGATGTGGCATCATTATTTTTAAATATAGGCATATTTAGTGAGGGATTAGTGAAGGACTAACCTCTCACTAAAATGATCAAATTTTAAATAGTATTATAGAGGGATTAACGAGATGTTCAATCTCTAGCTAATTTTAGCGAGGGACTGAATGCCTCACTAATTTACAAGAGAAATACGATTACACGCTAAACTCAACAAGCCCTTTCTTAACTATGAATTTAACAAGAGACAAAATCCTTCACTAAAATGTAATTTAGCTAGAAAAAAATGGCATTTAGTCAAGAATTTGTCCTTTGCTAAATTTTATTTTTCTAGTAGTGTTTATCATGAAATAATAGAAAAGAACCTCAAAAAATGCAGACAATGACCGAAAAATTATAAAAAATGACCAAAACATTATTTTTTTATCAACTAATGGTTAAAATTAATTTCTATTAATGATAAAAATTAGATTATATCATTTTCAAAAGTTGATAAAATAATTTATATAATAAATAAGTTTAGCGTCTATAGAGCTATTGGACATAAAATTCAAAAAGTAATTTGCTTATTTATCCTTTTTAAATTTGTAATTTTCAATACAATTCATAATGAATTAATATTATCTTTTAAATGTAAGCTTAAAAATATATTTGGAAGAATATAGTTTATACTTGAATAACTCAAGCTTGATTCAATTTTAGTTGAGTATAATTGATTATAAAAAAATTAATTAATTATGATTATAATTAATTATGTTATAATATGGTGATATTTGGATTTTTTTATGAAATTAATTTTGATAAGATTGAAAATGTTTGAATAATTTTAACCAAAATTAATTTTAAGTGTATAAATTACTATAAAGGATATTTATTTTCAAAATATAAATATTAATAAATTTGTATATGATATTATTAAATTTGTTAAACTCCATTTAACAAATAAAATATGTATGATAGTGATCCATTTAATATTTATACAATTATTTAACATATAATTATATACTAATTAATTATAAATTTAAATTATATTTTAAGGTAATATTAATAACTTAATTTGTGTAAAATATATATATATATATATATATATAATTGACAAGGGAGGAGACGGATGGAGGAGCAATGGGGCATGAGCACACAAGTAATATCAATGAGGATAGAGAGAGGATATGGGGGGTGTGGGTATTTCAGACGGGTATATTTGGCAAGTCAACATTCTAACAATCAATAAATGAACTGTAAAAATTAAAATTGATAAGCAAGTGTTGTCAGGTTCAAGTAAAACGTGGTTATAGCCTAAATAATTGATTATGAAAAAATGAGAGTGTTTGATTATTTTTTTTCCCAGATCATGATTTTGGCCAAAATAATTAATTCTTTGGGAAATCGAAACAAGCACAAGTGCCCTAGTCATAACTGGAATTGATTTCTCTTTATTTATTTATTTTTATTTCATTTCCTCTTTACAATTCATCTTAACCATTAAATTAAATTTTAAATGATTTAGATTTAGATGTATATGTAATATTTTACATAATAATTTTTTTATTTTTTACTACAGCTATAAACAATTCAAATTAAGTTTTAGTAACTCGTACTATCTATTCATTTTTCATAATTTTATATTTTAATAATAACTTTGTAAAATATTAAATTTAGATTATTTAATTTTGATCCCATGGTCGAGAGAAGTACAGTGGAAAATGAAAAGGTTACAGTAAATAAAGAGAAGCAAGTGATGTTATTAAGAACAACTATCAATTTTTTTTTTTAAACAACAATTATTAATCCTTATTGATGATTTATGCTCAAATTATTTGAGGTAGGCTTTTGTTTTTGTGGCAAAACTTTGGGCCTGTCAAATTGGTTTTAGAAGAGCTTGGAATAGTAGCAATAAGAAACTATTTGCAAGGAGTGATTTATTGGAAGCCAAAATTTTTATTGAGCATGTTCATTGGAATTTGATCTGAATTTCAAAATTTGCTTCATTGGAATCAGACTATTGATCTTAGACACTTCATTTGTAAAGAAAGCAATGTTAAAACTGATCTAAAAGTGTACTTGTATCGCTTATTTGACTTCATTTTCTACCAGTTGAAAAAGCTTCCTTCCTTTTTTAATTTGTTTAGAATTTCGATTGAATATAATTGATTAATATAATTAATTATAATTATAATTAATTGTGTTATAATACAATTTATTTGGATACTGAAATTGATTTTAACTGTACAAATTATCATAAAAGATATTGCTTTTTAAAATTAAATTATTGATAATGTTATATTTAATATTATTAAATTTGTTAAACTTTATTTAAAAAGTAAAATATATTATTTAATAGTAAAATTAAATTTATAAGTAACCTTCTAAAACTTATTTCAAGATCTGATTCTCATTCAATAATTAACTGTCAAATTAATTAACTGGATAATTTTTTAAAAAATTAATTATTTAGCCTCAATAATTGAACTTTTTACCAATCCAAACACGCAGGTTCCCTCTTACACTGTAGGTGAGCCTTTATTTCACTGGCTTTCTTTGTGTAAAAAGAGAAGAAAAGAAGAAGAAGCCAGCGATGTCGCAGTCCCCAGCGATTTTTTTTTTTTTGGTAAATTCGTAGTTTCTTGTTCGGAGGTGAGATGTGAAGGTGGAAGTTGCCGAAAGAACAAATCATAATTTTTGACGAAGTTGCACCCACGCCCCTCCCATTGATCTTTCAATATTCCACTCACTCTAATTCCCGGCCAATCCACTTGCACATTCCAAATACCCCTTTGTTTTCTCTATGGATGACCATGTTCAACCCGTTGCTCTCATCACCGGCTGCTCTCAAGGGGGCATCGGCCACTCTCTCGCACGCGCCTTCGCCTCCCACCTCCGTGCGGCAGTGGCCACCAGTAGGTGACGCTCATCTGGATCTGGACCAAGACCCCAGGTTCTTCTTGCAAGAGCTCGATGTTCAGTCCGATGACAGCATGCAGCGCACTCTCAACAATGTCCTTCACAAGTACGGTCGAATCGATGTCTTAACTGTTCAATGCGTTGGCCGACTTGCCGAGCTCCCTCTCTCCGCCATCCGCCACACTTTTGATACTAGCGTTTTTGGTTCGTATCATCATCCTCATTTAACCCTGTTCTTCATTGACCTGTATATTCATTTAGGGTTTAGGGATTTGGCATTCAAGCATGCGGAGTTTGATTATTTACGAATTTGCTATATATCTTTGACTTTTCTAGATCAAAAAGATGTTTTATATATCTTTGGATGGACTGGAAGGAGAGGATACAGTTGCTTTAGTATCTCATGGGTGTTGGAATTTTGGATTCGGCTATCCTAAATTAAGATTTTAGACGTTCACA